TTATTAAAAATATAATCACTGGCCCTCCTTGGTGGTGCAGCGGGTTAAAGCACAGCACTGAGAAGCTAAAGCCACTTCCCCATGAGTTCAATCCCCGCCTGCCCTGGAGGTGACCACATGGTGTGGCAGACCTCTCCTGACACCCCCCCCCCCCCAGCAGTGTACTTCGTCAATCTGCCAGTTCTGCTCCCTGCTCTGTCTCTGGTGAATCTTCTCACCCTCCGCATCTCTGGCTTGTACCCCAGTTCTGTATGAATAAATAAATCTTTAAAATATATATATATATATAATCACCATATAACCCAGCAACACCATTTCTTGGGTATATATCCAAAAGGACTGAAGAAGAGTCTCAAAGAAATAAATGCATACCTATTTTTATATGAGCACTAGTTACAAGACTCAAGAGGTAAAAGCAACCCAAGAATCCATTAAGGAATGAATGGTAAATAAAAAATGTGATACACACATGATGAAATATTATAAAATCTTAAAACAGGAAAGAAATTCTGACTTCAGACAGACAACATGGATGAACCTTTAGAACATTATGCTACGTAAAATAAGTCAGTCACAAAAAGAAAAACACTTCCTGATTCCACTTATATGAAGTTACCAGGAGCTGGGAGAGGGAAAAGGAAAACTGTTTAATGGATACAAGATTTCAGAATTCCAAGATAAAGTTCTGTCAATATTTCACAAAAATGAGAACATATTTACCAGTACTGAACTGTGTACAATTAAAAATGGCAAAGATGTTAAATATGTATTTTTATCGTAACAAAAAGAAAAAGCTGGTTATTTCCCTCAAGATGTGTAGACTAGATTCTAAAACTACCATGTTCTTTCTTCTCTTAATGTTAATAATTTATGTTTATATAATTCTCTATAGCCTATCATTGTCGGTCAGAAGTCAACTAGTATTCAAGACATATGAAGGCCAATAAAAGTGTTCTTGAATTTTAAAAGCCAGGGGGAATTCAAAAATAATTCTTAAGCAAAGACTAATTATGAATATGATTTTTCATGTTTTCTACTATTAATTTTTATCCTATTTCCCCCCCCCCCGGCCATTTCTCTAATAAATAGTATTTCAAATCAAGAATAAGAATAAATGGAGAAAACTGCAGTTAGTTATATCATCAGAAGAAAAAAATTACCAGATTTGGCCAAAATCACTTAGCTATGTTTTCCTCCTCAGCATGAGAAATTCTCCCATAGTCCTCCCCTTTTATATAAAAGACAATCTAGCAGTAGTGCCAGTGTACTGCAAAAAAGAGATCGAGCATATAAGAACTGCTGGGAAAGCAAGCAAAGAACTTCTTTCACTTTTATCTTTCAGGTTTAGAAGTATGCAAATAAAATCAGTAATGTTAAGTAAAGTATAAAAATAGCATAATTTATAGTTTTCTTAACATAATAATTTTAAGAATTAGGAAGGACAAAAGAATGGCTCCAATTTGGATTCTCATTTTTACTACAGTAAAAATTAATCCTGACCCAGAACTAAGAAAAAACATTTTTTTAAAATAGCAATTTTAATAATTATTATTTTTAATAATTATTTTAAACAACAACAATTATTATTTTAATAAATTATTATTTTAAAAGATTTATTTATTTATGCATACAGAACTGGGGTACAGGCCAGAGGTGCAGGGGCAGTGAGAGACTTCACTAGAGACAGAGCAGGGAGCAGAACAAGTAGATCAACACTGCTGAGCAGAGCAGTGGGTGAGACAGGAGTGGTCTGCTGTGCCATGTGGGTCACCTCTGGGGCTGGGGATCCAGCACTGAAAACAGCTGCAGCAAGCTTGCAGTGTCGCATCCTAACTCACTGCACCACCAGCAAGGGTCCCTAAGAAAGTTTTAACTGATACATATTTGGATTCAGGCCCACATCAAACACTTAGATAATATATTCAGAATTTCAGACTTCTTTTTTATATACAGGCCAACAAAAATAAGAGGTGAATGTAGACAAGTTTTAAGTATTAGACTGTCCTCAATTTGATCTTCCACCTTAAATTAATGTCTTCAGATTTGTTTTAGCAATTCTATTAACTCCAGTTGCTCCAATTCAAGTAAAAAACTAGTTGTCGATTCTATGATTTACATGTATCTTTACAGATCATGGGCTGCTCTTTTCATTATAAATCAAACCACATTTTTATTATTGTATTAACAAAGCCTCTTGGTCTATAAAAAAAAGAGCAGATGGGATGATTAACAGCAGCTGCTGTTTATCATTGTCCAGGAAATTACATGCATACTGTAAATGAGTTTTAAATTTTACATGCTTCAGTTTCCCAGTTCTTTAATGCCCCTTCTGCCTCTAACAAAACAAAGTATGAAAATAAGCAGTGAGATGTTATTGAAGACATTTGATAGTTTTTAGCTAATCAAATCAATTACTAGTTTGATAAACTATATTGACTTTTTCTTTTTAAGATTTATTTGTGTGTACAGAACTTGGATACAGGCCAGAGGTGCAGGGGCGGTGAGAGAATTCACCAGAGACAGAGTGGGGAGCAGAAACAGGTCGACCATCGAAGTACACTGCTAAGGGGAGCAGCGGGCAGGTCAGGAGAGGTCTGCCATGCCATGTGGTCACCTCTGGGGCAGGCAGTGATTGAACTCATGTGGAAGTGGCTTTAGTTTTTTAGTGCTGTGCTTTAACCCGCTGCGCCACCAGGGAGGGCCCTGATATTTTAAAAAAGATTTATTTTTTATGCATACAAGAACTGAGGTGTAAGCCAGAAGTGCAGGGAGGTAATAAGCAGATTCACCAGAGACAGAGTGGGGAGCAGAAGAGGTGGATGTACTGAAATACACTGCTGAGGGGAGCAGTGGACAAGACAGAAGAGGTCTGCTGCACCATGAGGGTCAGCTCCCTGACTGGGGACCAAACTCCTGCTGCAGTGGCTGGCCATAACTTCATAGTACTGTATTTTAACCCCTGTGCCACCAGGGAGGCCCTATAGCGGTCACTTACAGGGCTAACTAATGTACATTCCTAGTGCATTATTAGTTTTGTGAGTTTTATGATTCTTAGAATTAAAATTTACAAATTGTTCAAGTGTTTAACAAGTGCTCTAATTTGATCCTCATAATAATGGTAGAGATGAAGTCTATTATTATTCACATTTTACAAAGTAATTAAACACCTCCCCTCGGTTAAGCTAGCTAATATAAAACCTAGATTTAACTGGGACTTCAAAGCCCACCTTCTTCATTACTTTTTTCTTCAACGAAGTTTCTTAAGATATAGAAGTCTTCTTACACTGGCTCATAACTAAAGCATCTGTCAGGCTATAACTTGTTTTTAATGACTATTTAACAAAAAATTTACTCTTTAAACTTGTGAAGAATCCTGGGGTCTTGGCTTCCTTAAGATTTTAGGTTACTATTAGGACAGGGGACTCAAAAAATGGCTCAGTTCCTCAACAACTCTTCTTTTCCTAGATCAAATCTAAATACAAATAATTATGCTTTCCACAGTAGAACAAGGTCATTCTCACTCCCTCTGCTTTTCCTTAGTTGAAAATTAGACAAAAGGATTTTTACAGTACAACAGGAAAGAAGTGTTGATGACTGTGTAAAGTAATCTGGTGGGACCCCCAAACTTCAAGCTCTTGAACTTCTTCTAAGAAGTCTAGAAAAAATAACTCCTCACCCTTTCAAAACCTATTCTGGAAATAAACCATTTGTCTATGTAATCATGTAATCGATTTAAGTGCCAGACTTTCTATTTTCAGATATTCAATCTGAGGATCTACCATCCATGCAGTTATCAAAAGTAATTTTTCTTCCTTGCTTATGGGAGAATTACTAAATATTTGTCTTAAATGGGATAAAGACTAAATTAGCAGCAAGTTATTATTTCTCAGAATAACAGACTTCATCAGCAAATAAACTTTTTGAGCTGGGATTATGGACTTAATTCCTGAATACAGTATAGAGAAAATTCTAATGAATGGTCACAGAAGCCATTTCCAAGAAGCAACTGTTTTTCCCTGAAATAGACAAATTGGAAACTTTTCCAGACACATGTTGTATAAAGAATTTAAAGCTGTTTTATTCTGGCACTTACATTCTGAGTAGTTATTATGAGGAAAAGAGTATCCAATATAGAATGATACATACATAAATTCACAGAACTAGCAGTTAAGAAGTTTTCAACCCGGAATGAACTGTACCAAAGTCGATAATCTTATAAATAGCCCCAAACACCTCTAGAACTAACTGCAGATATCCACATTCTACATATAAAGACTTGTTTTACCCAAAACCTAATTCTCATTGGAAATCTGAGTATTATCATGAGAAACACCATTTCTTCCTTACATTTGCTCTCACCGAGGTACAGAGGCACATATATGTGTGTGTGTGTGTATATATATATATATATATATATATATATATATGTCTTTTAAAAAGGCAAAGGTTTTGGACTACGAAGTTATTTATCTGGCCCTTTAAATCAAGCAACCTCTGACCGAGTTTTCCTCGAGATCAGGAGTCACCTAACCCTTACAATCGAAGATCTAGGAAAATACTGTTGGGCTAAATGAAAGTATCTGTGGGCGGGTCACTGTCCTGGGCCACTCCAGATAACATTATTTGTCTTAGTATCAGTAAGATCTGGCAAAAGAAAGCCTGCACCCTTTTCCCTTGTCGTGACCTATTAATTTAGCTGGGTAGGAAATCAGTGGCAAATTAGCCCCCATTGCTTCTTGGGGTCATCACTCTGCAGGGCCAAAAGCCGAACTGAGCGGTTCTTCGTGGTCAGAGACCTCTGGAAAGCCACACCTCTCACTCCTCACAGTCCGTCCACGGGTTGACTACGTCTCGGCCCTCATCCAGGGCCCACAGGGCCGAATGCTGTCACCGACGCGAGGTCGCCGGGCCCACTCGCACAGTTCTCCCCGACCCTCGGCTAGACTCTCCTCCCTTTTGGGCCGCCCGCCCGCCAGCCGCCCGGATGACTGCGAACTCACGGTCGCCGCGGCGCCGGTGAAAATATCCTCCCCCTCGGTATCACTGTCCTCAACCTCGGGATCTGACCCCCCGGCTGCTCCCTCGGACTCCGGCTCCAGGCCGGGGAAGGGCGGTGGGAGTCTCTCCGAAGCGCTACAGCCACCACCACCCGACGCCATCTTCCTCCACCCGCGGCGGAAGCCGCAACAACAACTTTATAGAGAGATAGCGCCGTGAGCAAGGCGTTCCAGTCCAGCAGGGGCAGCCACGAACCCCGCGGAACGAGCTGGGCGGAGCCTAGGGGCGGGGCCTGGGAGGGGGCGGAGCCGGCCCGCGGTTGCAGCCCCCAAACCGGTCCTGAGTGGCGACTCGGGAGTCTGAGTTCTTTATCCAGGGAGTGTAGAGGGCAGAAAGGAGGATCTAGGGCTAGCTTGGGTTTCTAGGGCTCTGGATAGCTTTATTTAACAGGCTTCTTAAAGAGATGCACTTAGAATAAAGTAGTCCGAAACCTCTATATGTCACTTAGTATGCCAAGTACAAGTGCCCTCATTGATTCAATAGATAGATTTGAGATCTTTGACCAGACTGCACTGAAGTTTCACCCTTATTCTTTGGACGTTTAGTTAATTCAAGAAATACCTACTGACTACCCACTGTGTGCTTGATAGACTGCCGTACGTTTGAAATCTGCAAATAAAAAGGCTTGTTGCCCTACTGAAACTCAAGTCAGGACTGACTTTGGAAGGAAGTTTTGACTGGGAGCGTCTCTCTTGGAGAAATAACCGCAGAAGCTCTGGCACCAGCTCTTCCAGTACTAGGAATCAAGATGTCCTTTCCCCTACCTCTTCAGGATTCATCTTTAGCTTATCGAGGGCGCTGAGAAAGGCAATCAGTGGCGTGTAACAGACTGTTACACACTCAGAGTCAGTGGCGGGTAACAGACCGTTACACACAGACACACACAGACACACAGACACACACACACACACACACACGACCACCACGGATGGGTGCCCTTCTCCCGGCCCTGTAACATGGGGACTACACGTCCCAGAATACAGCTCTGTTTTTTGGAGAAAACATCCCATACGCCCAGCACGCAACGCACTTCAGGAGCCACGAGGAATTTTTTTCTCTTGTCCCGCCGAAACTGAGCAAAGCATGCTGGGGCTGGTAGTCCTTGAAGCATCCTTCCCTAGGTCCTCCGCGCTACTCCGTCCGCCCCGCCCATTCTCTGCCACCCTGGACCTTTAGGCTAGACTTGGCGGGTTTGAAGACCAGGAAGTTGATAAATCGCTGCTGAGAGACGGTGGCTCGGGTGGGACAGTCGCCAGGGATGGCGGAGCGTGAGGATGGAGCGAGTGTCCGGGCTTCTCTCCTGGACGCTGAGCAGAGTTCTGTGGCTCTCGGGTTTCTTTGAGCGGGGAGCTGCCCAGCAGCCCCGGATCATGGAAGAGAAAGCGCTAGAGGTTTATGGTAATTAATTCCAGGGCAGCATTTTACGCGGAGGCGGGGGTAATGAGGCCCTCACCTGAGGGCTGGGCGCCGAGACTGGTTTTCCCGAATGCCGTCCGGCGTGTGGGAGGCGTTTCTCTGGGGGTCCTCAAATCTGGAAGCTATGTGATTCTTTGGACTCGTGCTTTTCCTAAACTATGGGGCAAGCAGGTCCTGGAGGTCTCATACGCTTCTTTCCCCTTGTCTGTCCCACGCCCAAGACTTCTGGGTAGATGCTTGGTTAGGAAGCAAAACCGGCCTGTTTGCATTACTTACTTGAATTCTTCCTTTCTATCCTTAGTCTCTACACAAACTCTCCTTGCCACAGCCGAAGGCACTCCTGGGTGACTGCCCAGTTGGGGATTGGCCCAAGGTCACAGCTACTCTTCTGCTGCAAAAGCTATAGGCGCAGTACCCCTGAAAAAGGAGAATGAGATAGGCTCCTTATAGCCCTGCCTTAACCAGTCATATCTGAGTTTTATATATATATATATATATGCACACACATAGCACAATACATATTATGCAGATGTGTACACACACGCACACACATATTTATATATATGCAGATATATGGAATATATATGTGTGACCAAGGGTAAAAAAATCTAATGAGAATACAAACATAATTCAGGTAAGGTTTATAGGTCAGTAGAAGGAAGCCTTTGGAACTAATCCAGTTTATCCTCTCTCTTGTTAGAGCAGGACTTAATCTCAGCCACGTGATAATTATGATGGAATCATCTGCACTGGGCAGATGGACACATTCCTGTCTTGTCAGTACTATCTATACCGTTTAGAGACAGCAAGCATCTGGGATACAACTTTGGAAGAGTGATAATTCTTGACCTTAAGCTTATTTTGAGGGAGAATGGCATATGTAAAAACATACTGCTTCTTACTATATGTATAGGAGGCAATGGACTGGAATTCGAGATACAGAAATTAGGAAGGAGAGATACTAATCTTTAATTGTGGGATCTGGAAAGATTTTAAGAAGTATAAGTAGCATATGGATATATAATGGGTAGTGGGCATACTAACCAGAGGAAAATAGAGCAGAAGTATAGCAGTGAGAAAATAACATGTTTAGGTAATGGCAGATAGGTGGGGCTAGAGAATAGGAGGGTGTGTGGTGAAAGATGGAGGTGTCATTAAAAATTGTTTTAGACAGGTTGGAATTGGATACTGAAGGCTTAAGTATAAATGAAGACTTCAGTATTAGTGCAGAGCCATAGAAGACTTAGTAATAGGAGAGCAAAATTACTTTTTTTTTTTTAAGAAATAAGTCCAAATTTCACAAATCACTAGAAAACTAGAGCCCTTTAATATAAAGGGTTAGGTTTAATTTCAAGGGAAAGTAGACTTGAGCCTTACAGAGAGAATTGAGCCTTATAGATGAGGGACAGCAAATTCCTTTTCAAAAAATTCTTGTTTCCTGGAGCTCCAAGATGACACCGCCTTCTAAAGAAATTTTGTCCTCTTTTTCTTGCCTTAATTTTCCAAATTCTGTTATCAAGGCCTAGTTGTTGGGGGCAGAGGGGTATAGATAGAATTTGATTGGTTATTTTTCTCAGTTGCAGTTCTGATTACAGAGCTGCTTTAAATACAGAACAAAATGAGGCTTAAGACGCTCATACCCATACCCATTTTATGTGAATTCTCATAAAATCTTAGCTTTTCTTGCTTTTTTTTTAAGGTTTATTTATTCATGCATACAATAATTGGGGTACAGACCAGAGGTGCCGGGGCAGGGGGTGGGGGAGGTAAGATAGAATGAGGAAGAGAACAGGCAGATTGACTGAAATGCACTGCTGAGGGAAATGGGGTGGGGGGGCGTGTCAGGAGAGGTCTGCTATACCATGTGGGTCACCTCCCTAGTTAGGGATCTAATTCAAGCTGCAGTGACCTTGAATAGCTTCATAGTGCTTTAACCCATTGTGCCACCAGGGAGGGCCCAGCTTCTCTCGCTTTATCATTTTCTTTCTCTTTATCATTCTCTTTCCATCTTTTTCTACATCCTCAGACTAAGAAGGAAATCTTGTCCTCTCTAAAGCCAGCTCAGATTCCTTCAGCCCTGGTCTCATTCCTTTGCTTATTTTACTAATCTCACCTCTCCTTCTAATTTCAATCTTCCTCCATTTGATCCTTTGCTTTGGGTTATAAAACATACTCAAGTTTCCCTTATTCTTGGCATTGTTCTAACTTCTTTTAAATCCATTGTCCTTCCTTTGCCTAACTCCCCTTCCATTTGATCCTTTGCTTTGGGTTATAAAACATACTCAAGTTTCCCTTATTCTTGGCATTGTTCTAACTTCTTTTAAATCCATTGTCCTTCCTTTGCCTAACTCCCCTTCTTTGTCAAAGCTATAGAACTTCAGTTCCCATTCACTGCTCCTTTTGCAAGCTGGCTTCTGCCTTTACCTCTTTACTGACACTGCTTTTTTATAGGTGACCTCCTGGGTGACAAGTCAAAGACATGTTTTAGCTCTCATCAACCTGAATTTTTCTGTAGCATTTGATTTTGTTAACTGCCTCTCTTTTATCCTGCTTCTCACTTTTCTCTCCTGTTCTGATACTTAAATTAGACACTTCTCATAACTCTATTCTTGGGTTCCTTTCTCTTTACACTAGTGATTCTCAAACTGGGTTGCATATAAAATAACCTGAGGAATTTTTTTTTTAGGTTCCAGTGCTCAGGTCATCCTCCAAATAAGTTAAATAAGAACCTCTGGTGTGGGGTCCATACATCATTTATGTGTGTGTGTGTGCAATTTAAAAAAAGATTTACTGGGCCCTCCCTGGTGGCGCAGCGGGTTAAAGCACAGCACTGAGAATCTAAAGCCGCTTCCGCATGAGTTCGATTCCCGCCTGTCCCGGAGGTGACCACATGGTGTGGCAGACCTCTCCTGACCCGCCCGCTGCTCCCCTCAGCAGTGTACCTCATGGATCTGCCTGTTCTGCTCCCCACTCTGTCTCTGGTGAATCCTCTCACTGTCCCTATCTCTGGCCTGTACCCCAGGTCGGTGTACGTAAATAAATAAATCTTTAAAAAAAAAAAAAGATTTACTTATTTATGCATATAGAGCTGGGGGACAGGGGTGTTGAAAGGGTTCACCAGAGAAAGAGTGGGGAGTAGAACAGGCAGACTGATGAAGTACACTGCTGAGGGGAGCAGCGGGAGAGACAGGAGAGATCTGCTGCACCATGTGGGTCACCTTCCATGCCAGGGATCAAACTTGTGCTGAAGTGATTGCAGCTAGTTCACAGTGCATGTTTTGTCACTTTGTTTTTAAAAGCAGTCTTGATAATTCATTTGTTCAGTTAGGGTTGAAACTACTGTTCTACTTATGGTACATAACATTGTTGAGTCTTAACAGATTCAACAATCACTCTTACCTTAGTCCTCTACTAAATTGTATGCAACAGTTTAGTGTTTGCTATATATTCCATTGGGTTGCCCCTTAAGGACCTCAAAATCCTTACATATATAACTGAACTTTTTTCCCCTAGCCCTATCACATTGTCTTTTTATCCTGTCAGTATTCTTAAACTTAAAATCTGAGCCATCATCCTTTCCTCTCTTTCCTTATCTTCCGTATCCAGACATTGATCAAATTCTGTTGATTATGTCTGGAATTCTTCACTTATCCCTATCCTTATCTGTTATTACTATCATATACCTGTTTTACACCCAGCT